CTGGAATACAACCCTTAGGCTGGGGTCCAATACACATGTATGACAGTGGTGAGTGCTATGGTGTTTCTGGAATACAACCCTTAGGCTGGGGTCCACCAGGACATCCGGCTGCCATTCAAAATTCAACTTGAATGTTTCACTGGTTTCCTCCAAAGGTGAATTCCAAAAAATGACCTCATGGATGCAGTTTCATATTTCATCACAGTCTAAAAGGCCGAGGTGACGGTTCATCAAATATTTAAGATTTATGACTAAATAGCCTGACCTCTCTGCCTTCTTACATGAGACTATGTGAGAAGCGCTATAGGGAAGAAACAGATGTAAAACCAAGAGAGAAATAAAGGAAGAAGCAGGCACCTGAAGCTGGTGTTGTTTGATCCTCTCAAAAGCTTTTCCATAGCTACTCGCGTTTGGCCTGTTTTCACACAGGTACTGGGTCACAGATGTTGCCAAGAGCATTTCTTATAGGCTTACACAAGCGGGTTTCACACTCACAGAAAATGGCACCATGGTGTTGGCATTTTACAAGATGGTCTGCCAAAGTTCTTGATATACCAAGTCTCACTGTCTCACTGTATTTAACACCTCTTGCTTCTTTGGGGGTGGAAACAGAAAGACAAAAAAAGAAAAAAAGAAAAAAACACCCACAAAATCACAAAAACCAAAAAACGAAAACCTCCCTATCCACTGGGCTTGGTTATTCTAAAATATGTAGATGTGACTATAGATATTAGGGTGAACTATATGAAAAAGGTTGACTATCAACAAGTCCATAGGACCAACCTAATATATAGACACTTTGTACACTTAAGGCATTTATTTTTAAGAGTTGGGTTTCTACATCATTAGAACTATCCACAGGAGTCATGGAGTTTATGATTCCCTTACTAAGTCAGTATTTCCCTATCTTTACAAGCCAAAGACTGCCCAATTAGCACAGGGCATAGAGATGCCTGCCATTTCTCTCCTGGACTTCATTCCCTAAGAACACATAAGGAGAGGGTTCTGGATTATTCTCCTCAACAGAAACAATGGGAAACAACAAAGCTACAAAAATACAAATTAACCTGAACCACAGTCTCACTAGTTTTTGCTTTCAATGTTTGTTAGCCATTGTGACAGATGAGATCCCAAACAGTGCAGCTAGATCACCAATATGAACAATATGAAGGGAGGTCATTCTTTCACTGAAAAATTCTAATCCTGTCTCTGTAACTTACTTATATTATATAAAACGTAAAGAACACATACTACACTCTCTGTCTACCCAATGAGAACGAGCTTTCTAAATATGTTTACATAATACATGGCTCACTGACAACCTCTTCTTTACATAAACCAATGGTATAGACCAGAGACTCCTGAAACTGATCTGGGCATTCAAAGAACTTAAAGTTCATAAAGAAGAAAGCACAAGTAGATTAGAAAGTGATCGATTCTTTAATGAACGGGGAAAAATTCAAATTAGAGCCCCATCTCAAACCATAAACCAGTATAAATCCCATATAGATTAAAGAATTTTTTTAAGTATCATAAAACAAAACAAAAATGTGAGTATTTAATGTATTTTTGTAAGGTGCAAGACGCTCTGTCCTGAGCAAAAAGCAATGGTAGCATTCACAAACTATTAATAAATCCGACTCTAAAGGTGTGAAATGCCTGTATATCAACAACACCATGAACAAAATGAGAAAGTAAGCAATAAGCTGAGACAAAATCTTTGCCAAAACTGCATTAACAAAAGGTTATCTTACTCTATAAAGAGTTTACATATGAAAAGAGAAAACATTAAAAACCCAATTTAAGAAATGGACAAAGGAAAAATGGAAAGAGAAATACAAATTTCTAATAAATATACAAAAAAGATCAACTTTAGAATTAATCAAAGAATGCAAATTAAAACAACAATGAAATATTCTGCCTAACAGATTGGCAAAAACCTGTTAAAAAATGGGCATTTTTTTACACTGCTGCTGAGAATGTAAACGGATTCCACCTCTCTGGGGAGCAATGTGGTAACAATGTGTCAAGACTCTTTAAGGAAAAGTTCACACCCAAAGTTAGGGTATCCCCAAGACTCAGGGGGACACAGCATAAAGTGTACGCAGGGCTACGATACTGAGAAAATAAAGGAAATTTTCAACTTTTAATGTTTGTGGCCCCTGCTCCTGGGCTCCCGGGGAAGCTATACTTCAACATTTACCAAGGTCAAAATGATTCAGCAAAATTCAAAGTATGGGCACTATTTCTGCCCAAGCACACACTGCACATCTGCTTCATTTATGAAAGGAGCATTGCGAACATAAAGATTAAAAAAAGAAAGAAAACCTCCCTCCTCCCTGGTTCCCATAAGATTAAAGCCATACAGCTCTGCATTTACTAGAAGCTTAAGATAAGGTCTGCAACTTTCTGAAATGTCCTTTGTCTAATGATTTGTAACTTTTTATGTAAAAAAAAAAAAATGTATACAACCCTACACCAAATGTTCCTTTGCTGGAGCTTATATAACCCTACACCAAATGTTCCTTCACAGAGCATTCTCTTCTTTGTGAAGATTGTGTACCCCAGCAGCTGTCCTAACTTGGCCTTGACTAAAACACACTTTCTTTTAGAAATTCTAAAAGGTTTGTTCAATTTGCCTCAACAATATACTACAGAACTTCCTGATGCTCAACCCTGTTCCCTTGCTTTACTTTCCAGACCCTGCTCTTGGCCACTCCACCACTAAAGCCCTGATGGGCACCACCTCTTCCTGACAACAGATACAGCCATTTTATTAGAGAACTATGACCATTCCATCAATGTGAAAGGTGTGACTCATGTCTTGTATTTAGAATCAACTTGGCCCTTTTCTTCCTTAGCTCCGTCTCATCCAGCTCCTTGCCTAGATGCTTGGAATCTTGTCTTTTCCTCCATAGCTTTCCAAAGCATCAATCCCCACTACTCCACTCCTCTAGAGTCAGTCCTGACCTCACCCTTACTTGGGGCTTAAGGTTAAGTTTTCTCGAGAATGACGGAGGCAGCGTCATGTGGTCAGAACGGGACAGGCCTGAGAACTGGACCCGAAATGACAATCATACATGGACAGAGAAACCTACGGAAAGAGTAGGAGACGGGCAAAGAAACAGAACACACGGAAGAAGCACATGAGGGCATTTGTGTGCGCCCAACGGAAAATGCACAAGAATGGACCACGGAAAGTGCATCTTAAAGAAAACAAATTTTGTAACAAAAAAATAAAGATCTTGGCTTTTGCAAAGACTAATTCCCTGTGGGATCTCAGGCAAATTATTTACTGTCGGGAACCTCATCTTTCTAGGATGAGAAGGTAGACCCACAAGATCTCTGTGGGCTTTCGAGCCTTAATACAGTGGCAATGATCTCCGGGCCACAGAGATGCACTGGATGGCCTTTCACTGAGTCCAAATCCCCCAGCCCTGGGAAGCAAA